ATTACAACTAATAAAATTAAATTGTCAGCATTAATTTATTGTGATAGCTGGTGCTGTTTTGCTGAAGCTAAATTACCTCTCACATGAATTTGGCACTAACTGCTTTAGAGGAGGTTCTTTTGCATTTGGCAAGTTGATACTACCTTGGACAGAGTAATGACTCAGTTGTAAGACATTTCTCTAACTGAATTACGTGCCTCACTTGGTTCATGCATTCTCACTTTATAAATTTTAGATTTACAGAATTTTGTAAAAAAAAAAACTACTTATACCTGGTATTTATTTTAAAGCATTTTTTAAATTTCATTCCTTCCTTCTTTTCTCTCTTCCTTTTTCTTTTTCTTCTTTCTTTTCTTTCTCTCTCTCTCTTTTGTAATCTCTACATCCCACATGGGGCTTGAACTCATAGCCCCAAGAACAGTCACATGCTCTTCCAACTGAGCCAGCCAGGCACCCCTAAAACATTTTTAGATTTTATTAGTTTTTTTCAGCCAGAGATACTCTATGACATGATAAATTCTTCCTGTTAACTTCTGCTACTGCTGTTACTGGAGAACTGATAACAGCACATTGGAGAGGGGGTTTATTGATGCTTGTATTTAGTGACTATTGGCTCTGGGGGACTGGTGTCTGCTGAATAACCAACCAAAGTGTTTCTGTTGAACACAGTCCCAGTTTAAACTCTTGTATTAATATTTCTAAATCATAACTTTCAAATTAGAAAAAGGATGGAAAAAACATTAACTTGGGGCGCCTGGGTGGCTCAGTCGTTAAGCGTCTGCCTTCAGCTCAGGTCATGATCTCAGGGTCCTGGGATCTAGTCCTGCATCGGGCTCCCTGCTCCACAGGAAGCCGGCTTCTCCCCCTCCCATTCCCCCTGCTTGTGTTCCCTCTCTTGCTGTGTCTCTCTCTGTCAAATAAATAAATAAAATCTTAACAAAAAAAAAAAGAAAAAAACATTAACTTGAATTGTGAAACCTAAGGGAAAAAAATCCTAATTTTAAGTGAAAAATATAGTAGTGATAGAGCAAGACACACATTAGTGGTGTGAGAGCTCTAAACTTTCTATTTACAAGGGCTTTGGTGGTTACAGGTTTGGAAAGAGCCCTAGGACACTTGTCTTGAAAATGCACTTTTTGGGGCACCTGGGTAGCTCAGTCAGTTGAGCGTCTGCCTTTGGCTCGGGTTACAATCCCAGGGTCCTGGGATTGAGCCCCGTGTCAGGCTCCCTGCTCAGCTGGGAGTCTGCTTTTCTCTCTCCCTCTGCCTGCCGCTCCCCCTGCTTGTGCGCTCTCAAAGAAATGAATAAAAACTTAAAAAAAAAAAAAAGAAAATGCACCTTTATAGCCTGCAGCCTTTTTAAAAAAATACATTTTGAATATAATTTGCATACAATAAAATTCAATAATTATAAAAGTATGATTTTTTGAGCTTTGACAAATATTTAGTCATGTGACCACAACCACAATCATGATAAAGATCACAGAACATCACCCCTATCACCCTCAGAAGTTCTCTTGCACTTTTTTGCAATCAATCCTATACCATACCTCTGACCTCTGATAACCTTTGTCTACTTTCTTCTTTTCCTTTTCTAAAATGTCTTATAAATAGAGGTGCCTGGGTGGCTCAGTTGGTTAGGCAACTGCCTTTGGCTCAGGTCATGATCCTGGAGTTCCGGGGTTGAGCCCCGTGTCTGGCTCCCTGCTAAGCGGGGATTCTACTTCTTCCTCTGACCCTCCCCCCTCTCATGTGTTCTCTCTCAAATAAATAAACTCTTAAAAAAAAAGTCTTATAGGGGCGCCTGGGTGGCTCAGTTGGTTAAGCGACTGCCTTCGGCTCAGATCATGATCCTGGAGTCCCAGGATAGAGTCCCACATTGGGCTCCCTGCTCAGCGGGGGGTCTGCTTCTCCCTCTGACCCTCTTCCCTCTCGTGCTCTCATTCTCTCTCTCAAATAAATAAATAAAATC